TGCTGAACCCTGTGGATCCTGCACGGTCCAGTCCTGATAGGGCTGCCCTAAATGCATTATGTAATGGCAACATCAGAGTGGAACTGGTTCTTACCACCCCAGCCCTAGCACCAGACTGTATCTCCCATGGTGACCTGACAGCTGGTAGGCAGGAGCCCCTTTGTACCATTAAGGGTAGGCTGGTGCTACCTGCTCTAATGTGGGCTACTGAAAAGACTGACCTGTCAGCTCCTGCTACTGGATTGTTGCTGGAGGGTGGGAGAAGGGAGCTTGCCAGGTGAAATATGCAGTAGAGGCACAAAGTATTGGTTTATTACTGTTATTAATATTGCCTGCTGCTGCGTTGCCTTCACTGCCTGACAGCGTGGGCAGGGATTGACTAGAAAATGTTGGATTTTTTATTTTTAAGGCCATTAATGGCCCAGGTCCTACATGCCACTTCTGGCTCCCTGCAGCGTGTTCCATCCAGCCCTCTAGAGGTGAGGGGGTAAGGCTGCTGGAGTCCAGGGACAACAGAGGAGCCAGGTAGCATGCCTCCATGATCTCACCACAGCACAGTGCCCCCCTCCCCATGGCATTCCAAACACCACCACACAATGAGGCCTTTTAAAACCACCCTCTCTTTCTAGAAGTCCTCAGCTCACCACATCACTCACATTGGCATATCAGTACTGATCACAGACTCACAGCTTTAGGTAAATTAGGCCTTAAGCCTCATAATATTAAGCTATTCTCTCAAGATCTGGCCTATAGGAGCTGCCCCAAATAACAGACCTCTACTCTAATGCACATTCCCACTGATATCAGTATGATTGTCTAGTATGGATAATATGGCTCCAACAATCCCTCCTCAGATGGATTTCCAAACCTGGAAAAGTGGGACTTCAGATAGAAGTAAAGGCCTGAGTGAACAGCTCTGTGAGTAGGGACAGGCACTTCATTTCCAGTCAGCACAAGGCTATCCAAAAGCAAGTGCCTTCAACCATGGGTGCACAACCCGACACCCTCAAGGGCCCACATTTCAGAGGACGGGATATGACCCGAGTATTTAAGGCAAGTTGGATACCCTGAAATGTAGGCACACAATGCCTAGTCCCTTTAAAAGATCAAGGCTGCTGATGTTGAAGGGAGCCCAGGTGGAAGGGCCTGCCACTGATTTGCTTGCAGGATTGCAGCCTGAGCCTGTACATATTTTATTACAAAGCAGATCAGGTCCTTTGACAGAGCAGTATGATACACTGCATACATGGTGATTAATCATGGAGATAATTAGATTTCCTCCCTTTTGAATTAAATGGACCCCAATGCAAGTCACACGAATATTAACATTCCATTAATTGGGGAAGAGGGTAGAATACATTCAGGCTCCTTCTCAGAAGCAAGTATAAAGCCCAGCCCTCCTCCCCTCCAAGTCCTTTGATCTCCAGCAGCTGTGTTAAACAAGGTGGACAAGTAAAGACTTCCCTCCCCACCGCTGGCCCGCTGCCCAGCCAAGTGAAAACAAAGCACTTAAAAGCAAAAAGACAACTAAATCCTTTTCAGTTTCCATCGATCTTTAACACATCTTTGTAATAGAAGTCTTATTGTCATCAATAAAAAGAGAGAATCATTGTCGGACAATGCTCCCTTACCTCTGCTACCTCCCTACTAGCAAATCACAGGCAGC